CTTGTGTGCTGAGATGATCCCAGGAGGGGTTTCTGTATCCCTGAGCAGCCAGGGCTGACCCACGATCCCAAAGGCTTTGCAGGGTGATTTGAGAGAACACAGGGGTGTGTCTGGTGTGAGCAGGGACATTCATCTCCCCTGAGGAGCTGTTCAGCACCACTCTGTGTCCCCTGGGCTGTTTGTGTCCCATCCTGGGGAGTGCTTGGTTCAGCAGTGTTCTCTGACTGCAGCTCACCCAAAACTCTGTGGCCTGGATCCCCCTGAGATTCCCAGGGCTCCTCAGCCCAGCCTGGCCACAGATGCTGGGAGAACCTTGGTCTAGGATGGCTGAGAATGGGTGTGAGAAACAGAAGGAGAGGGAGAAAATGTGCCCCCAAATGAGGATATTGGGAGTTCAAGTTTTCAGTTTTGTGTTCCATTTTAGCTGAATGAGTGATTTTGTTACACATTGAGAGAATGAAAACTAGAATGTTAGTGTGAGACTGCCTCTCAAAATGCATTTACTGAGAGCCAGGCTTGCACTGTGATCTTTGTGGAGACAAGGTGAAACTGCAGGTTGCAGGTCTGACTGCACTGCACACGTGAGATGCACTGGACACGTGGCTGCAGCTCCAGTTCTGCTGCTTTGGAGTGTGATTGTCACTGTGGGGCAGCAGGATGCAGCTTCACAGCACAGGGCTGCTGCTGAACCAGGCAGGGAAACAGCCCAGGACCCCTCAGAGCATTTCGTGACTCCACCATGGCAAGGCAATTTCTGAGTGCTGGCACAGAATGGACCTTCTGGCACAAATTGGCACAAACGCTGTGATTCTGGGATTCTGCACCAGGACCTTCCAAAGGTCAGTCAGGTGATTTTATACCCCACTGAGCTGTGTAACTCACCCACTTTTCCAGGGGCAGCAGGAGCAGTTTCATTCCATCCTCCTGGCACTGCTGCAGGGATGGCCCAGGGGCCACCTGGTAGCACAGCCTGGTTTTAGCTCAGCCTTTCTCTCACAAATGCACAGGCCAAGTGTCTGTGGCTCTTTGGCCAAATCTCCTCTTGCATAAAGAAACATCCCTGGGTCCTTTGTGCAGCTGGTGAGAATTACTCCTGGTTGTTTCTTTGCCTCTCCTATTCACAAAAGGAACAAATTAAGAAAGTCAAGATTTTCTGCTCACAAAATGAAAGAAAAAGCTTTATAGAAATGAGGTCTGGGCAGCAGTTGGGTCTTTGCTTTGTGCAGCAGGACCTGCTTATGCAAGGGAGGGCTTTGGCAGAGCCCTGCAGGGAGGGAAGATTCCTGCTGCCTCTCCCTCAGGTTCCTTCTCTGCTTTATCTGTTCCCCCAGGATGACAAATCTAACTCCAGCAAGCTGCTGCTGGATCCAGAATTCAGGAATTGTGCTTATTTTTATTTAATTTTTGTATTATATTTTTCTGTTTTATTTTTTTTATTTTTGTAAAAATAGGAAACTGTATAAGAACCAGAACTATGTGGACATTGAGAAGCTGGCAGTGGGAGGTGTGAGCTAGATGAAATCCTCATTATAAGTTTGGGTTCCTTAAATTACTTTGAAGCATAAACTTTAATGTAGAAGAGAAAATCCGTGCAGGTGGTTGGGAGTGTAGATCCTGGCTCTGTGTGTGCTCAGATGTTTCTGTGCTGGTTCAGAGCACAGGGAGCAGCTCTGAGCCTGTTGCTTCACTTGGACTAGAAAGAGTGAAAAGCAAAAGTGCTGCTGCCTTCCTGCCAAACAGTGGAAAGTTGCATGTTTGAAAACAAGATTTCAGTTTGAAAGCGTCCAAGTGAAACGTTGACTTCTTTGAAAGCTCCTGTTATCTTATCCTGATAATAATATTCTTTTTAGACAGAGCTGGGAGAAGTTTTATTGGCTACTTTAATACCTTCACGAACACAGTACATTTCTGAAGCTGCTGCTTTGTCCTGTGTTCAGAAATAATGCATACATTTCTATACTTCTGCTTACTGCAGTTTCAAAGAGTTGCTTTTTTCAGTTCAGGGTATGAATGTATTGTCAAGTAAGACATTTGTTTCCATTTGTGTGACTTGCAATTTGGTAATAAGCAACAGATGAAAAAGCACTACCCAAATTCTCTTGTATAAAATTTCTTGTGAATGCCATCCCTTCATTCTACAGAAACAGGCCAGTGTTCAGTCCTATGAGTAGCATTAAAATACAAAAGAATGAAGAAAGCAGAAATAACTAAAGCTTAGTGAAGCAATACAAAATCCAGCAGTGATTTCTGAGTATCAGCCCAAAGCTGGTCCTGGGCCCAAGGGGGATTTTCAGTGCTGTGCTGCTCTGGCTGCTCAGTGGGTGTCCATCACAGGCATTAAATAAATGACAGATTAAGTCAAGGTTGCAATTTAATTGTCTGAAGGCCCATGTGGACAGCACTCAGTGGCTGCCGGGCTGTGCTGTGTCCCCTTGTCCCTCCTGCAGGGTCCTGGTGCCTGTCCTGCCCTGCCAGGGCTGCTGCTCCTCGGGCTTTGGAGGTCCCCGGGGTGGCAGGAGCGCTTCTGCAGGGCTGCACTGCCTCCCGGTGGCTTCTCCCTTCCTCTCCTCAATGAAAGCTGCACGATTTCTTCCTCTGCCCGGAAGCCCAGGGCTTGGGTGGCAGCTGCAGTGCCTCTGCTGTCCCTTCACCCCGGGCCATGGCTGGGACATCTGTCCCCTCCTGCTGTCATTTCCCCACAGCCCCTTCAGCACCCCAGTGTCCATCCCTCACCCACAGCCCTGCTGGGGGATTGGGCACCTCTGTCCCCGGCAGGATGGGGCTGTGGCTGCCCTGACCCATCACCCGTGGGGTGGCACTGCCCAGACTGGGCTGTTTTGGGCAGCTGTCACCCCGTACCCCAGGGAGATGTGACCCCTGTTAGCGTGGGTGTGCAAACCACTGCTGTCACCACGGGTCACACGGTGCCTGTGACACAGCAGGGCCACCCTGGCAGCCCGGGGGTGCCACCACTGCCAGCAGCACCCCTGGCTCAGCCAGGGCCGCACCAGAGACCTGCCCAGGTAGTGCAGGACACCTGAGCCTCAGGGCAGGCTTGGATTGCACAGTGGGAGATAATATCCACTCTGCACATGGCAGGAGTGCAGTCCCCACCCTGGGGAGTCCCGAGTGAGTCCATGCCACTCTCCCCACGGCTGAACAAGATGCAGTGGCAGGCAATCCTAGCTCTGTAGTCTGTGCCATGGGGTGCAGGGAATGCTGCCTCTGAGCAGGGTGGCATGCTGGCTGCTCTTCTCCCCATTGCAGTTTTAACCCTGGCTTTAGACTGCTTAACTTTGCATTCATTTTTTCTGAAACATCAGTAGCTTGAACTACATGAAAATGCAGAGCATTTGCAGAGCATGCTGCATGGCTCTGGGTACACTGTGTCCAGGAAAAGCAGCAAAATGAGGTTTCATCTTTATATAAATACAGAATGCTTTGGACTGGGGGGGATGGCTTAAAATTGTGTCATTCTACCCACATGCCATGGGCAGGAACACCTTCCACTAGAGCAGGTGCTCCAAGCTCCATCCATTCTTAGTGAATGAAATAAATAAGGAGGAAAAAGAGTAACCCAAATGTTTGTTTGCTTTAGAAAGCTGTGAGTGGTGGGGAGCAGGTGATGCACAGCAAACCAGCAGTGGTGGGTGCTGTGCAGGCTCTGGAAAGCAGGGGCAGTGCAGGGTCTGGTGCTGGGGTGAGGCACAAAGGGCAATCACTGCATGGGATTGAGATGGATTTTAACATCCACGTGCTTCTTTTGGCACCTCATCCCCTGTCTGAGAGAGTTCTTGTGCTGTCCCCACTGGTCCCTTTGACTGAAAGGGCTCTACTAAAATTGGCACATGGGCATTTTCATATTGCAGTTGATGCTGTATGGTTCCTTTGGGTAAATCATTTTATGATTTACTTTATCTGGGATTGCTGTGGGTTCAGGGAGATTGCTGGGATGGTTCACTGGAGGGCAGAGGAGTGGCCCTAGCACTGAGGTAAGAGGTTGATCTTTCAAGGTTAAGCACTGTGAGCTCCTGCCTAAGCCAAGCTCAGGGCAGGAGCAGAGCCCAGGCTGTGGCTGCACAGCCACGCTTCCATCTGGAGATCAGCAGGGAAGGAGAGTGGGAAACCTTCCTGAAGTGCAACCAAATAAAACACCAGTTCTGTGGTGCTTCCAGATGTGGCCTCATCTTTGTCCTTGCTGCTTGCCTGTGCCAGAGCTGTCCTGGGGAGGGACAGGGCAGGAGAGGTTTTTGTCCTGCACTCCCCATCACTCAGCTGTGCCTTATCTTCCCATGCCACCTGAAATGTGGCTTCTTTATCCGTGTTTTACCTCTCAGCCTCTGCTAAAACACCTGAGCTGTACAAAAGAGGAGATGGGTGTGCTGGTCTGTGCCCAGCCCTGCGTGTACCTGTGTGACTGTGCTGGGACCAGGGCCAGCCCACCCTCACCTGAGCCAGAATGGGCTCACCTGTCCCCTGCCCAGCACTGGCACTGGTGTCCAGGGCAGCTGGAGTGGATCTGTGTTCTCTCTTGGTTTTGCTGGAACAGGGTCTGGAACATTGGGCTTTCCCTGGCTGCTGTGCTACAGGACTGAGAGAGAGCACAGGTGGATTTTTAAAATTCTTGAATAGTTTGGAGATGCCCAGTCCGAAAGTTTGACTAAGGGCCAATATTTATCTGTGTTTGTGCTGGTGGCACATGGCCCAGCTTTCTGTGGTGTTTCCTGCTCTGCTCCTCCAAAGGATGCTCAGCCTGAGAGAGCACGAGGCTGCACTGATTTGCTCTGAGTTCGGGGGTCGGTTCGGGGCTGGCAGTGGAGCTGCCCGCCCTGCTGGACAAACCTGTTGTTTTGGAAGCTGCACAGAGGAGTAACCTCTGTCCCGACCAGACAAGAAATCACCGCCTGGCCGGGGCCCAAGCCAAACACGGAATTAACTTTGCCCTGTACTGACTCGTGGGTGTTGGGAAGCGGCGAGAGCGGCTCCCACCAGCTCAGAGCACAGCCTGCAAGGATGGGGGCCAGGCTGCTGTGCCTGTGCCTCCTCACTGCCCTCCTCGGCTACTACATCTACAGCCCGCTGCCCGAGGAGCTGGGCCAGCCCTGGTCCGTGGTGCTCGTCTCGGCTGCCTTGAGAACCCTGGCACACGTGGTGAGGTGGTGGGGGCTGGGAGGGCAGAGCTGCGGGGCAGGGGGGTTCTGTGGCCCTGGGGCTCAGGGCAGTGCAGGTGTGTGCCCCATGCTGCAGGTGTGCTGTGCTGCAGGTGTTGTGTAGGTACGGTGCTGCACTCGCTGAAGGACAGGAGTAGGTGAAAGGAAACCCTGAAGTGACTGTGACTATGATATACAGAAAGGTAGAAAAGATTTGATCTTGCAGCCTTGAGAAGAGGCAACGAACGAGGTGTGGGATGTGACTGGATGGACAAGCAAAGACAGATTTCTCTTGCTTTGTAGCCCTGTGCAGATAAAGCACTGCTGCTTGAATCACTCCTGGCTCGTGTGTACTCAGCTCCCTCACAGCCGGGTGTCAGGGGAGGGGAGACAGAGCAGCTCTCACATTCTATTGATTTTTGTGGTTTCATAGAAATCCACTGACAGAACAGGCCTGGAAACCACACAAAACAACGTCTCTGTGTGAGACAGCCCTTGCTGGCAGGGGGTTCCTTTCCAGGGCTGTCGAGTCTGCAGGGGGAGGGAGGATTAGGAGGTTTTTGATGTGTGTCAAGGACTCCTGTTTAGATTTTGGGGGCTGAGGTGATGGAAGATGGCAATGGTGAGAAAGGAAGAAATTGTAGTCTGTAGCTTTGGTGTACTGCCTTGCTGCTTCCCCTGCTCAATCCCCTGCTGGAGGGAGCCTGCAGGCAGGGTGGGCACGGGCAGCTCCTTGCCCAGGCACGCCTGGAGCCTGCTGGGGCTCGCTGTCACCTCTGTCACCTCAGCGTGGCCCTGCCAGCAGCAGGAGCATCCTCTCTGTGCCAGGATCCCTGGAAGACGCAGCTGTGTCCGTGGTGCCCGCTGTCCTGCCAGCCTGGGAGCAGCAGGGCTGTGGGCAGGCAGTTTGTAACTGGGCTCTCATCTCCTGTGAAACCATAACCCCAAGGGATGGACACAGCCACAGCCTCCCTGGAGCTGCACTAGTGCAGATTAGATTTAAGTGGCTCTAAATTGTCCTAAATAGATTCTGGATGGCCATCCAGTTACAGGGTAGGGACTTGTGGTCACTTAGGGCAGGGCTGTGTTTGCAGGGGGGACCCTATTCCAGTCTGAGTCCCTGGTGTTGGTGTGAACCAAGGGAACAAAGCCACCCTCGAGGGTTCCTGGGCAGTAGAATCCTCTCTGAGCTCCCAACAGGGTGTGCCAAGAGCACCATGGCATGGCACATCCCCATCCCCTCTGTTGTGCCAGGTCCTGGGGAGCCCTGCTGGGTGTTCTGAGTCCCTTGGTGCCCCCTTCTCTGCAGCAGGGAGGTGGGAATGTCCCCCTTGCCTGTTGATGTTCATGTCCTGTGTCCGTGTGCTGCCAGGCTGGGAGCAGCCACTGAGAACAAACCTGCCCCTTGAGGTGGTGTTTGGGCCCAAAATCCTTCAGGCATTTCAGGAAGTGCCCCACGCCCTTGGTCTGAAACACCTGAAGAAAGTACAAAACACAGCAGAACGTTCTGGCTGTCTTTGTGTGACATCCCCCCAAAGCTCCCTCCTCTGAAACCCAGACTCGGGTCCTTCCCAGCCCCCCTCTGCCCGTGTGGGGCTGATGGGGAGCATCCCCCAGGGTGCCTCATCCCAGCTCTGCCCCTCTGGAAAGCTGGGCTACTAGAAGCCCTGTGGGCACTGCCCTTGCCCAGGCACAGCCAGGCTCCTTCCCCCTCCACAGCTTTTGGGGGTCTGTCCTTGCTGTAGTGCTCCTCTGTGCTAGAGGGAGGAAGGGACTGGGGAAATGCTTTCCAAAGCACAAGGATCCCAAACCCCAAAGTGGCTGGCTTTCCTGGTACTCCAAACACCCAATAAGCTCACGCTGGGACAATGAGGGGTTTTCAGATGAGGGCACAATTTCCTTTTATTGATGATGGCCTGGAAACCGCAGGCAGCAGCCCAGTGGTTTTCCACAATGTGAATTGTCCAGATGTGGAAAACACAGCTCTAAGGGCACTGGAAATCCTCAGTGCTAGGGCTCAGGGAATTCCTCCCACCATGAGGCTTTCACAAGCTCATCGGAGTCACAGCAGGACTCACTTTGAGTGAGATATTTGTTTTCTCAAGATGTTAATCCTAGGGGGAAAAGCAACAACTGAGAAATGTTTATGTAAACTGTGTCAGTGTTGTGGCTAAAACGGCAGCTCTGGCGTGTGTGTGTGTTTGTTTGTTTTCATGGAGCTGATGGCAAGGACCTGTGTTTCCTTTTTCAGTGTGCCAGGGTCTGCCCACTCATCTCCATCCCAATTCCAACACACTGGGATTGGCAGGGCTCCTCCTGGCATCACCCGCTCCGAGCCTTCTGAGAGAGGTGACTCAAAAACGTGGTGACAATCACTGCCAGAGGCTGCCAGCAAGGGCTGAGCTGTGTGCTATGCCAGCTCCTGAAAAATAAGGCTATATCATGGAATCCCAGAATCCCAGACTGGCTTGGGTTGGAAAAGATCTTAAATTTCATCTCATTCCACCCTCCTGCCAAGGTCAGGGACACCTTCCACTAGACCAGGTTGCTCAAAACCTGGTTATATGTAGATGATGATTAAACAGTTGATTTAAATACAACCTGAAGAAAAAAAAGTACACCAAGCAGGGTCAGGCTGTATGACTGCCCACAGTCACAGTCTGAAGGCTGGAGGTTACACCTGGCAGCAGGTATCAGTCACAGTGGGGGGGTTTCACTTTCCTGGGGACAATTAAGCATCTCTTGCAAGCCAGACTTCAAACAGGTCGTGCACCAGGCTTGGCTGTTCTCTTTCTTTTAAAACTCAAACCTGCTCTGAATTTCATCGGTTTTCACCTTCAGATAATATGTGAGAACTTGGGTTTATTTCTTACTGTTTTAATTGTGATGTGATGAGGCTGGGGTGGGAAGAGGGTCATGTCCCATTGCTGGGGCTGGTGCCAGGAGCTGTGGGGGACTGTGGGTGGCTCTTTGTGTGTTCCCTGGGCTGTCCCCAGGCCAAGAGCTGTGGGTAGCTCTCTGTGGCACGATGCCCATGCTGGTGGGTCACTGAGCTGGACACTGGCTCTGGAGCTGACCCACATAAACACCGAGCACGAGTGTGAGTGTGGCACAAAGCAGCAGCCCTGGCTGTGGGCTGGGCTCTGGCCCTGCTGGGCAGCTGGTGGCAGTGTGGGCTGTGTCACAGTGTTTGGTGACTGCCAAGTTCACATGGGTGCTCTCTGCCTGTTGCACTGACTGCTACAGCAACTTCACACCTTTGTACAGAGCATCAATGGCTCCACGGGAATTTAATCTGAGAGTAAATACGGTTGCACTTGAGAGAGTTTCCCCTTGTCGTGTGCTTTAGTCCGAGGCAGCTGATGTGCTGGGGCTCATGCACTACATGGAGGTGTTGAGGCTGTTCACGGTTGTGGAGGTCGTCCCTGCCACGTCTGATGAAAACATCACTGTGACAGACACAGAGTTCAGCAGCGTCCCTGTCCGCCTGTTCCTGCCCAGGAGGGCACCTGGCGGGCTCAGGAGGGCCATGCTCTACTTCCACGGAGGAGGATGGTGCCTGGGGGACGCAGGTGAGCTCTGCTGAATCCCACACCGGGTCTGGGGCAGAGATCTCACCTGTCCAGTGCTGCCACGGGGAGGGGCAGGGGACTGGTGTGGCACAGTTAGATCAGGGGGAGGTTTGGGAAGTCAGCTGGGAGCTGGTGCCAGGAGGAGCAGGCAGTTCTGTGTGTGTGTCTATCTTCACACACCCTGGGCTCTCATTCCAGGCATGCACAGCTACGATGTCTTGGCACGGCGCATTTCAAACGAGCTCAACGCTGTCGTGGTGTCAGTCAAGTAAGACATTCTCCTTCAGGTGGCACGAGGGTTTGGAGTAAATTAATCTGTTTCAATTGTTCTGATTTTTCAATGTTTCTGTATTTGGTCTCATGTGCTTTTCTGCTGACTTATGAACATTTGTGAGCAGAGGCTGCCAGGGTTGCAGTGGAGAGTTGTAGTTGGGGGCTATTTTGGCTTTTTGAAGACGGGTGGGCAATAAAGTGAATCCTGTGGGACAGACAGTTCCCGCTTCCCTGGGCACAGACATAAACGTCTCCCAACAGGGAGATGTGGGCAAGCTCTTCCCTGTATCAACAGCAGGTACTAACACACTTCTCTTGCCCCCACCAGCTACAGGCTGGCCCCTCCACACCATTTCCCCGTGCAGTTTGAGGATGTGTACTCGGTGACCAAGTTCTTCCTGCAGAGCAAGGTCCTGTCCCAGTACGGGGTGGACCCTGCTCGGGTCTGCGTGGCCGGGGACAGCGCCGGGGGCAACCTGGCTGCAGCTGTGGCACAGCAGGTACAGTGAAAACTGTCTGCAAGCTCTAAAGCAGAATTTCTGTAGTTTCACCACCACTAACAGAGGCTCAGCTCACAGCACATGCTGCTCTGGTGGCCTGGGCACACAGGATGTCACAGGGCTCCGGGGACCAGGCAGGAGGCTGTGCCTGAGCCACTCGGTGACACTGGTGCAGCATTAGGGCCATCCACACCTCTGTCCCCTAAAATAGGCTCTCTGCCCTCCAGCTGGGGCATGCATCACTCTAACGTCACATTGAGTGGTTTAGGTATGATGTTTGAAAAGAGAATTTTTACTACATGACTCATAAAGATCTAAATAGAAGGGAAAAGAAACAAAGGAAAAACCCTCACTAAACGTTGCAGTGTCTGATCATACAGTTTGGTGCCTTTTGCACTTCTCCTTCAGCTTTATTAAATAAAGTCAGCAGGATGTTGTTGCTCTCTCAAGGAGTTGTTTGGACTGTAATGAAACATTGGGAATGGTGGCAAATTTGCTGCAGATGCTGAAGGCAGAAGGTGAGGGAGAAAATGGAAAATTGATTAGTGAAGAGGGGAAAAGGATGACGTATAAGAAACGTCAATGTTCAATTCATCACATTTTATTTGTTACATCTCTAAAATGCACAGAATTGCAATTGCTTGAGTTGTAACATC